CCGCCGCTCCTGTCTGCCGGCCGGGAGTTTTCCCCGGCTGTAGTTCGCAGCCCTCGACATTTGTGCCGTTCGACAGCCTTTAAGCTTTCCGTTTACTTCTCAAGTTGCGAACGAGAATAGGTTGATACTTTAAACACTGGACAATTAAATGTTACAAAAAAGAAAGCGTGCATTTATAAATACGGGAGGGGATAGAAAAGGGGGAAAGAGAGCACTCCAACACAAAGACTCAAAAGATATGTTTGTTGTGGTAGCTATTACTTATCCATAGTTCTTACAACAACTTAAAACAGTTTTGTGACTTGGTTTCTAACTAAATAGAGACTTTTGTAACAGCCCGCATGGCCAAGTTCTTCTATCCTATTCCATGTACCAAACTATTTATTGACTGAAGAGTTCCCAGGCATGGGGGACTTGGTGACACTACAATAATTCTGTGCTCAGTAACTGATTTCTAAGAATTGCGTAGCTTTCAGCCACATCATTTGTTTCCCATTGTAATTGCAGGTTGCAATTGTTGGTTGTTGCTCCACAGACATTTTAATTCACATGTAATCTTAATTTCGATCACATATGATACACTCATTCCATTAATTCACCAGAATAGTCTCTTTAGTAACCACCTGAGGTTTTTGTGTGTGCACACTGATTCTAAAAAGCATCTCATCGGGTTTATTAAAAGCAGACGTATTATTGCGTTCTCTCCAGAGGTCTTAATGAACTAGCGATCAAAGAAACAGTCGGGACTTCAACATGGCTTTCCATGTGGAGGGGCTGGTGGCCGTAGTTGTATTCTACCTGGCTATCCTGGCAGTTGGGATATGGGCTGCTTGGAAAACCAAGAACACCGGCAGCGAAGGAGATCGCAGTGAAGCTATTATAGTCGGTGGAAGAGACATTGGCTTGTTAGTTGGTGGATTTACCATGACCGGTATGTAAAAAATCACCTTTTTTTTTTTTTTCTAGCCATCATGTAACTTGTCAGTTTTCCATCTGAATGAAGAAGTGTAATCTGCATGTTGAATAATGCAAAATGGATAAAATATACTTTTTTTCCAATTGCTGCTAACATTTTTTAGTGAACAGCCAACTGTAGCATCTATATAAAAACAAATATTTTAAAATCATACAGGAAGAACAAGAAATTGTATCTCTTATTCATTGCTTTCATATTCATATTTAGATCAGATATGTTTGGGACAGTAGTATAGAATTTATACAGATTAGTGAGAAATACAGTGTTAAAGTAGCTGTTATTGTTGTTAAAGCCATCCAAATTGGTGAGTTATTTTTGTTTAAACTGAGTAAAAGAAAGTTTCTATGCAAAAAGATGGGGGTGGGTGTGGTGGTGTGCAGCATCAATTAAAAATAAGTTTCTAAAAGAAAACTGGCATAAATCCAAACTTGTAATTCCACTGATTTCAGCAAACTTACTTTGTGGATTTTTTTGGTTTCTTTTGCAGCAGTTTGACAAAATAATGGTATGAATAGTGGTATTGGTAGGAAAAGCCTGGGTGAAGGAAGACTTCTTCACTAATTGTGTAAGCAGTGCTGTCTGACTCCCAGAGCCAGTGAAACCAGGTGTCTTACCCGGGTGAACAAGATATTCACAATATGACCCAAAATCTCAGGTCTTACAGCTAACATATGGGATGGGGAAAAAAATACATTATAAAGAAGAATGAATTGGCCTACTGTTTTTATTTAAGTAATTTAATTTTTAAGCATGCTGAATTTTTTTATTTTTTTTTTTAATTTATTCCAAATCCTATTCAGGCAAAGCCCTTTCAATTGACAAATTGGATTTATCAGTTTTGCTGTTTTATGTTTATTTATGTTAAGTTTATATTTTGGTGGTTTGCCCTGTTCTGTTTTCACAATTATCTAATAAGGAAGAGACACATAAAAACTTGGGCCAAAATTCTGTGTTCTTTGATCAAAAGAAATTCCCATCCACTTGCAGAGTCATTTTGCTCATTCAGAGAGTGAATATTTGGATATTGAGTGAAGAATGTTTGTAAAAGTCAATAATATAGGCTGTTGTTCTACTTTTTGCACTTTGCTATAATTTACTGTATCACGTATCCATCGGCTACTGAAGCATCAGATATGATGAGATTCTGCTCATAGGAAGAGCTAGTTTGACTGCTTTCTGCTGAATGAAATGTTTTCAAGAGCACCAAAACCAGAATATTTTGAAGAGATATTGCCTGCCACAAAACCGTAATCATTAGACTAGGGGAGTGGAGATGAAACAAGACATTCCCCACACAAGTAGTTATGACTAATGGCTTTGCCCGTGGAAGAAGACACAAATTCTGGTCTCCTTAATCCTATTTTGCAGGAATATTTTTCATAACAGCTGAAGCAGAGATGAGACTTGAACTGGGGCTTCCTATATTGCAGGCAATTTCTCTAACCGCCACAATTCACACTCACGTATGCGCATCCCGTTTCATGCAAGCTCTGGAGATGGCATAGTGTATCATCTCTGTGGTAGAGTATCAAGCTGATCCTAAAATGCTTGCGCAGCTGAAACACTCATGGATTTTATACTGTCGGAGTTCAGGTACTTTCTCACCTCTACCTTCCACAGATATGGCAATTAAAGCTTGAGATGGCAAGTAAATTACACTTTCAATTTCGGGGAACCACGCCTGGCACACAAAGTTAGGTGTGGGCACAAGCCTACTGAATCAGGGGTTAGTCCGAGTTTTGTCTCGCTGAGGGTGATTGGGATACTTAGTTTGTAAAGCCATAACAAAATAATTGCAAAGGTAAACTGATCAAAATCTGCAATACTAAGTAGACACATTATTCAAGGGCATACTTGCTTCTTTAAAAATGATAGATGCCGATTTTGCGCCTCATAAACATGCCTCCAGAAATATATGGCTATTTCAACATCATCTTTATATTTTACAGCTTTAATTCTCTAAATATGAATTAAAAAGCAAAGCCTGCCCCATAAAAGGAAAAGAAGAAATTTTTCAAGATCTCCAGAGAGGATATTGTTCGTATGGACAGGAAATACTCTGGGTTATGAGATAAGGCCTAATTCTGTCTTTCTTGCCCAAAATAAACTCTACCGTGTTCCATGGGTATTGGCTACTAAAATGGTAGCAGTTTCTAGGGCTATTTGGTGGGGAGGATGACAGAACTCAGCCTATATATCTAAAATAAAATTCAGAGGGTAAGCATCGTGGCTTCACAGGGACAGACTCAAGATTCCTGAGTAATTATAGTTGATTTTCTAAATGGCATTGAAAAGCCTTAAAGCAAATGCATCGCCTATGAATAATGGCTATGGACATATTTGGATGTATACTATGATCCTGAAGAAGCAGCTGTATCAAGTAGCTACCGAAACGCATAAACACAAAGCCTGTTGAAGTCTGAGTGTGTCTGCAATTAGAAAGAGTGAGAAGCTTCAATTGTGGATGGATCACAACAGTTCATGTTAAAATGAGCTAACATAATACCGTAGTAGACACGCCTTTAATCTTCGTATCATTTTTACATAATTATAGTTAAAATGTTGCATTAAATATTAGCATTCCTTAATTTGTGGGCCAAGTTCTGAAGAGGTGATATCTGCGACAAACTGGAGTCTATTCTGATTTCAGTGACTGAGTTTAAACCCCAAAGGCAATATTTGAGGTGACATAATCAAATGCTTACAAATAGGAAGGAAAAGGTAATAACCTATTGATGTAATTTGTTTGGTTTTGTTGTTCTGAAAGAAAAAAAAAGAAATTACAAAATTCTATTTTATTGTAATCCTTAGGTCAGGGTTTTCATTTTAAAGAACTTGATGAGTTGACTCAATAATCTGAGTGGTCAGACAAGGGATCATGCACAAAGAAGTGTCAAAAAATCTGATTTTCTAATATATATCAATATATATAAAGAAATCTGAGATTAATTTATGTGTTCCTCATATGAACCAGGAGCAGAATTGCACTCCATATCCTCAGCATTTTTCTGATCATTTTTTAGGGTGCATGTTTTAAATGGATGGTATTTGCTGCATTTTTTGGTCCTTCAGATGGGAGGAAAAGAGAGGATTAAAATAGATTACCACATGAGTGTTTCCATAGATTATTACATTTTATATTCCTTTTGTCTGATTTGGGGAAAAAAAAAAAAAAAAAAGAATTTCACCAAAAAAATGGTATTAAACTAACTTTAAATTGTAGCTTAGCAAACTGAGGATCAGAAAATTAATATCTAAGGTTGAAATCCCATTCTATCATATCCCATTATTTCTTTTCTAATGTATTTACTGATGTCAATGTACGTGCTGACTACCCATTCACCCCTTCAGAAAAAGCTATATAGCACCTTCCTAGAGCTCTGGGATCCTTGACAGATGTTCCAGAACAGTCACATGCACACAAAAGCAGCAGCTGCTTTTCAACCCTCAAGTCAGAAATCAAGAAATCAAATTGGAAATAAATGCTAAATCCTCCATGCCACCTTACCCAGCAATGCTGGTCCAGGGCAGGCCTATGGTTCCTGCAGTGTCACACGGAAGTGAAGCGACCTGACCCCCTCCAGAAAAAAGTAAGGGTGTTAGGCACAGCATTGAATTGCCCCTTGGAGAACACCCACCACCTCAATACCAACCCCAAGCAAATCGATGCTGGATGTTGAAGCCTGCTTGCACCACAGCTGCAGAAATGCTGGACATCTGTCCTTGACTATGGGATATTATTGCCCATCTGGAAGTGGGTATCATTCACGCAGAATTCATGCTCAGCCTTTTTCCAGGGAAGGAGACAAATACTCTGTTTCTAAATATTTACTCTTACAACCTATCCCATAAGTCTACGCTGCTTGGGACACAGTAGGCAACACACATCCCAGGTGGTCAAAGACTCAACAGTCAATGGCTGAATGTCCGGGTAGAGATCAGTGACAAGTGGCATCCCTCAGGCGTCCATATTGGGACCAGTATTATTTAACAACTTTGTTGGGGACATGGACAGTGGGACTGAGTGCACCCTCAGCAACTTTGCTGACAACATCAAGCTATGTGGTGTGGTCAACACGCTGGAGGGAAGAGAGGCCATCCAGAAGGACCTTGACAGGCTGGAGAGGTGGGCCTGTGCAAACCTTATGGAGCTCAACAAGGCCAAGTGCAAGGTCCTGCACCTGGGTCAGGGCAATCCCAAGCACAAACACAGGCTGGGGGATGAAGGGATTGAGAGCAGCCCTGCCAAGAAGGACTTGGGGGTGCTGGTGGATTCAGTAAAATGAATATGAGCCAGCAATGTGTGCTTACAGCCCAGAAAGTTAATCGCATCCTGGGCTGCATCAAAAGAAATGTGGCCAGCAGGTCAAAGGAGGTGATTCTCCCCCTCTACTCCACTCTTGTGAGACTTCACCTGCAGTGCTGCGTCCAGCTCTGGGGGACCCAGAAAAAGAAAGACAGGGACCTGCTTGAGCGGGTCCAGAGAAAGGTCATGAAGATGATCAGGGGGCTGGAGCACCTCCCTGTGAGGACAGGCTGAGAGAGTTGGGGTTGTTCAGCCTGGAGAAGAGAAGGCTCCAAGGAGACCTTATAGCAGCCTTCCAGTGCTTGAAGGGGGCCTGCAGGAAAGGTGGGGAGGGACTATTAATCAGGGAGTGTGGGGATAGGACGAGGGGTAATGGTTTCGATCTGGAAGAGGAGAGATTTAGATTAGATATTAAGAAGAAATTCTTTCCTGTGAGGGTGGTGAGACAGTGGCACAGGTTGCCCAGAGAAGCTGTGGCTGCCCCCTCCCTGGCAGTGTTCAAGGCCAGGTTGGATGGGGCTTTGAGCAACCTGGTCTAGGGGAAGGTGCCATGGCAGGGAGGTTGGAACTAGATGGTCTTCAAGGTCCCTTCCAACCCAAATCAATCTGTGATTCTATGATTCTATGATTCTAGGACTCTGGTAAACAAAGTATCATATTCCCACCTACCTTAATTTACACTGTCAAGAGGCACAAAATCCCAAATTTCTGACAACTTTTTGCATAGATTTTGTATCTCTGCTCTTCCCATCAAGGATCAGTGTTTACCCATCTTCTCCATGTGGTCCCACATGGGCATCACTCACCTCTTGTGCTGTCTCTGTAGTGTACAATAGATCTTGATACCCAAAAGTCTACCAATAACAAGATTCCTTGGGTCACTTCTTTTGTTGCAGACTTTCTCTCCACGCACATTCCTCACAAGCCCATTATACTGTTTCCAGCAACAGAATGTTCCATTCCTGTGCTTCAAAATGCTGAAAGGGAAACAATTGTAATGCTCTGGTTGCTGAAGATCTTTGATTCTAAAGCCATGCTGTAATTTAGCATTGAGTTAAAAAAAATCACCCTCTGGTAGTATTTGAGAGATACCACTGTTTAGCAGAAGAGAGTGGTCGTTTAGATTTTCATGAAATTTCTTTAGGAATTCTAATTACATTTTCTTGATTTGTGTTTATCTCCAATTGTTTGTCTTAAACAAAATCAAGTTTGCTTGTATGATGGTGGATGCTGGGAAAATTCTGAAGAATGCTTAAGGAAAATAAATTTCTTAACAATTGTGAATTTTTACACTACTACCCTTATATATGAAGGCAAAGGCTTCTGAGGCAAATCAAAACAGTGTTAGAAAGGTCTAGTAGTTGTAAAGATCTGCCTGCCCTTTTTCAAACTGAAGACCTGGATCCATAAAACTTACTCATTATATGTTAGAGAAAATCCAGGACTCTTTGCATGGAATCTGCAAACAGGAAGAGATAAACTATTACATAATTTGTTATGAATTATTTTTGCAGATGTAATCACAGTACATTTCTGTGTTGCAGATTTTCTTTCACACATACTGTAGGTCTAAATTCTCAAATGTCGAAACTTCCCTTCAAGGCAGAGAATCAATTCATTAAGGGTCTGAGGTTGGTATATTAAAAATACTGCTGTTTTTTAGAGAGATAAAATCAGAAATATGACCAATAGCACAGTTCACTCCTGGAATAAATCTTCAGGAGGTACAAAAACAAGTGAGTCAAAGTTTAGATGTTAAATGACAAAACAACACCATCACAACCCTATATGGAAATAGAGCATTTAGGGAAGTCAGATTTTAGTAAATGTGCTTTCTGTAGCCAAAATTTAAAATTTAGCAAAGTTTTAAGAGGAATTTTTTTTCATGAAGGTCCTAATAAATGATCAATTCATTAAACTCTCCTCATTAAACTTCCTAAATGCTTTGAGTTTTCCCAGCTGGGATGACTACCACTGTATGTTCATTATTCTTCTTCAGATACCCCCTTGCATCTCCCTTTCATTTACACTAACACAAAACCAGTAATGTGCTCCATTCACTGTAAACAAGTAGTGGGGGACTCAGCCCTCAAACCTTCACTGACTACACAGACGCTTAGACACCTTGGTGATGGTCTCAGTCCATCTGACTTCTTTTTTCATATGCTTCAGTTGTAAGTTTCTCAAATTAGGTCTATCTTTTATAGAAGGATGCCATGTCTGGCACTTGTACAGTACATATAATAAAAAACAGCAATATTCTAAGTGATGACAATTTCATGCTACAGTGTGGGAGATTTTCTTTCTTTGTGCACATTAAAGACTTTTTCACCTCTTCTTTTTCAGCCACATGGGTTGGAGGAGGTTACATCAATGGGACAGCAGAAGCTGTGTATGTCCCAGGCTACGGTCTAGCTTGGGCTCAGGCACCTATTGGATATTCCCTTAGTCTGGTTTTAGGTAAGCAAAGAGATAAAGCTAATTCTGCCTCATTTTAAACAGTTCTGATGACAAGTCCGTCATTTGAAATGAAAAAAATAGGGTCTGATAATAGGATACTGAGGTAAACTGTATCCCTTCTGCTGATGTGTTTGGCTATTAAAAAGAAAAATCACTATAAATAGTTTGATTTCTTAATGCTTCTGAATGCCTTGGCAAGACCTATTTGATTATTACAACCATAGTGATCTATGGAGGTCACAATAGGAAAGGTTTTGTTGTGAGATTTTTTTAAAATTATATATACTAAGTTTTATATATATAGTTCTCTTTAAGTGCCTATGTGATCTGGAACATGATAGTATATCAGGGCACCTATAAGTGTTGGAATTCAAGAGTGGCAAATGTCATTTCATGTTAAAAAAGTGGTTATACCTTACAGATCTTTACCAAACACCTAAGTAACTTGTCTAATTTTGTGTAGGAAGTCTGTAGTAGAACCGGTCTATTTCCTTAAAATTGCACGAAGCACCTTCTTAAACGTGGTACAAAACTCCAAATCATATGTCAAAATGCAAATACACAATCCTACTATATGCAGGGTCAGAGTGTAAAATACAGGCAGGATTTTAATTTTTAATGCGGTGGCCTCTAATTCCTGCAATGTAGTCTCAGAACTTCCTTTCTTTTCTTAAAAATAATAGCAATAAAAAATTTCTCACCATGTCTCAACCACATGGAGCAGCTCTCAACAAAAGTATTGCCTTGTGAGCCATGATGAATATGCCACAAAATTGTCAACTACGTCCTCTCAGTTTGTGAACAGAATATGTCCCTGAGGCAACTGCTGATGCAACTGTTTAAAAAGAATGTTGTTACAAAAAAGATCCTGTGTTCTTCTTCTTTCACTAATGTGAATGGTGTATTAGCCTTTATAATTATACTTGACCCCTCAGTCTATTTTGAGTCTTTTCTCGTGGTCCTCCCACCTAGTCTTTTCCTTTGTTTCCTTTGGTCTTCCTGCCCCTTTCTTCCTGTACATCTCGGTTGCCCTCCAGACTCAATTTTTTCCCCTCAGAAACACTTTCCTATGGCCTGTCCTGGTTGTCCTCTCTTCCCAGATGGAAATCTTCCCCATCACAGATATTCCTGTCTGCATGTGTAAGCCAGCTCCAGTTTCAGTAGTAGTTCCCACCCCTGAGAAAGCAGCTCTATTTCCTGTAAGGAAAACAATAACAGTAGATGTCTGCCTGGAGATCAGTTGATGTCATTATGAGATCATGAGGGTCATGTCCATTGATGTTATTAAGCAGTCGTTAGGATCGTAGTCACAAGCATCTTCCTGACTCTTAGCCTCTGTAGAAATTACACAAATTAATAACAGCCCAGAAGGGGTTGAGTTAGCCTCTCCCCTCATTTTCAACTGTTTTTAGATATCCAGACTTTTTTTCCTGGAAATTATAATGGCCACTCCAGAGAAAAGAAGTCTGTATCATATATATCATATCTTTGCAGAGCACAGATAGGAAAGCATTTCTGTAGGTGTAAGCTGTACACGCGGGTTTCAGGAGAGCAGTTGTTTATCTTTCTTAAAAAAAAATTATAAATACAAAACTAGAAGAAATATTACTGCCTTAGACTGGAAGGATTTAAGATTGATATAAATCTCCCTGTTAGTTCAATGTTGTGCTGCATACCACTTTTTCTAATTTTTCAAGCAATTTAGTTTTAAAGGTTAGAATTTCCTCCTATTTCCTTTGAGAGATGCTTGAATGTCCTAATAGATTATATTATCACTGACTCTTTTTTTCTTCTTTTAGTTGTCTTTTTTAATGACATAACAAGTAGAATAGGAACAGGATCCATGACCAATTCAAGAATAGTAAAAAACCACTAGAGGGTTTCTACATCCAAACAACCTGCCTAAAGACAGTGTTAACATAAGCAGCATAAATAAATTGTGATTGGTAAGCCAGTATCTTCTGTTCAGGGAACTTAATGAAATGAAGAAATATGAGTGATATAAGGCAATACATAGAAATGGGGAAAATCTTCTGTACAATATGATGAATACATTACATATCTTGTGATGAAGAATCTAATTAAGGGTTGCCAAATACTGTACAGTAGATTTTATTTGGAAATGACTGGTTTTCCAGGGTTTTTTTTTATTTTATTCTACCTTTTATATTGCATTTCAGCAGTTTTATTGTGGTAGAAGTCTACTTAGTTATAGTCCTCTGCAGATCTCAACTACACAGGCTTCCATATAAGGGCTCTTTCAGCTTTCCTGAGTCCTTTTTTTTTCCCCAGCCAGAAAGAATGTGAGGACTGTACAGTAGAAAGGTGGGGCCTTTAAACATTTATGTACATATCCAGCCCATATGCCAGCCAGCCAGAGCAGAATTGCAATACATCAAAATTCCTGAAGATGCATAAGTGTATGACAAATGTTCAGGGAGCCTGACACCTGCAGAGCCTGGAAGGCATCTGACCTACCCTGCAGGTGTAGTAAGGTTGATTTAAGCACACATAATAAATCTGGATTGTCCTGAAAGAATCAGATTTGCTGCGTGTGCACTAAACCATGTGCAAACTCATATTTCTGACCCAGGAATCCCGGACAGTTTTATTTTTAGAGTAGGACCGTGTGAAAATTCGTGCTGGATTCTGCCCTAAAAAGGAACAGGATTAGGTAGTAAAGCCATTCTCTTAGGCTGATCCAAAATTAGACCAAACTGACAGCATCCATAATGGCAGAATCAATAAACTGAACTAGACAAAATAAGACAAACTTATTTTTCACTATCAGACCATAGACATTAATGGTGTGGATGTGTTTATGTAACTCTGTGGACAGACATAAGGTAAGAGTTCTTACAGGATATTTTAACTGTACTTATTTATTTAAAAAAAAAAATACAGTAATACCGATACTTTTGTACTCTGAACTGACAATCAATGTTTCGCACCTCAATGGCAATGCATTTCTCCACTGCACCTGGTGTCTTACGCTACTTTTCTTTGTAGGTGGCCTTTTTTTTGCAAAACCCATGCGATCCAAAGGCTATGTGACAATGCTAGATCCTTTTCAGCAGCTTTATGGAAAAAGGATGGGAGGGCTACTATTTATTCCAGCTTTAATGGGAGAAATGTTTTGGGCTGCTGCCATCTTCTCTGCCTTAGGTAAGGAATAAGCAGTATAAATATTAATTTTTCACAGGTGGAAAGTATTAAGAAAATCAGAAATGCATTAAAATTCTGGCTTCAAATGCTAACTGTCCTAGGCAGATTATTCAGAGTGTGACAGTTCTCAGAACCATGCTAACTAGTAATTAAACCTGGTAATGGTACCCCATTAATTATTTTGGTAATGGAAAGACATGCAAGGTAGCTATTCATTTTCAGGTACCTTTAAGATGACCCTTTTCAAGGAGCACGAAAAGATTTAGCAACAAATTTCCTTTAATTGTGAGGGTGACATGAGCAATTGCAAGTGTCCCTTTTATGTCAAGGCTGACCCAGCTTTTCTTTTACATGGCTGAGATCACAGAAGCCAGTCAAAATTTCCCTTAAATATATGAAATATTATTGCCAATGCATCTAAACAAAATATTCCTTTGTATATAGGAGACCTAGATATACAGAACTTTCCATAGCACAAATAATAGAAGTAAAACAGATGCTGATCAATAAATTGAACTACTATTCAATTCTAAATGGCTTTCTACTCAACAAGATGAAGAAAATACTTAGGATTCAAGAAAGGACTCAGAGAATTAGTGGAACTATGACTCAATAGAAAATCACCCAACTGCTCATTCGGTTCTGAAAAAAAAACAGTTTCCAGGGTTTTTAATTACATTTCAGGCCTGAATTTAGCAATCCCTTCAAGAACTGAGAAAGCCCTTAAGCTGAAGCACCAGTAGTTGACTTTTACTAGCTAATCATACTCATAGTGCACATGCATGTGGTAATGCTTTCTAGCACAAGCTATTTTAAACAGAAAATAAACTTTGAAGGTACTCTCCAACTGTGCTCTGATGAACTGCAAAGCAATGGGGAGCTTGTTTACCACAATTTCATCACAAAACCCTTCAAGGACTAAGAACAAACTACATGCTGAGGCGATAGGAGTTGAATTACTTGAAGAACACTGAGTATTTGGAATATACTTTCTTTTTGATTGAGGACAAGCTAATCTGTGGTATTTCAAAGCAAGGGATGTGAATACCTTTCTAGTCGGTTTACCTTAACAACTGACATCAAAGATTGTCAATGACTATAAAGGTCATTGAGGGGCTTGATTTTAACTATTCTGTGAATAATCTGATTATATTATACCTCCTAATTTGCACAACTATCTTCACTGATGAATTTTTAAACCCAGAACTCTTCACTTCTTGATCTTCCTCATGATTTCTTGCTTGACAGGGTTATAGAAGGGAAAGACAGGGCTTCCAGCTTGTGAAAGAGGTCTGAGTTTGTAATCCTTAAGCACATGAATTTTGAAGGCTCACTGTACAACAAAAAGCCACCTGACACCTCTCAGCATCTTTTATATACACCACACATCACGTTGTGTTCTACTGCCAGAACTTTTCCTCTTACGCCATCAAGAATATCCATCTACAATACCTGCAAGGACTAAAAGTTATTGCAATATGTTTCATTTAAATTCTGCTAATTAGGAGGACAGTATTTTTTTTAAAAAAAAAAAAAACACATGGTTTTAAAACACTGCAATCACTTGAAATAGCTAATACATATAAGGAAAATGTATAACCATCCTGATAGCTGCTGGAAGGGCAGTGCAGGAGCGCACAAGAAATTCAGGTTTCTTGAGTAGACTGACAACAGCTTCCTGAAACAAATGATCTGGGAGCTGATGAAGGGAGATGCTCTATTGAACCTGTTACTTACAAACAAGGAAGAACTGGTTAGGGATATGAAGGTCAGAGGTAGACTTGACTGCAGTGTTCATGAGATGGTGGAGTTTAAGGTCCTGAAAGGAGGAAACAAGGCAAAAACCAGGACCTCAACAATGGACTCCAGGACAGTACATTTTGGCCTCTCCAGGGATCTGCTTGGAGGAATCCCATGGGGGAAAGCTCTGGGAGAAGAGGAGTCCATGATTGCTGGTTGATATTCAGGGATCACGTCCTCCAAGCTTGAGAACAGTCCACCTTGACAACCAGGATAACAAGCAAAGCTGACAGGAGACCTGCATGGATGAAAGAGGAGCTCCTGACTAGACTGAGACATAAAAAGGAAGCATTCAAGAGGTGGACAAGTGACCTGGAAAGAATACAGAGATACTGCCCAAGCATGCAGAGATGGGCTTAGGAAAGCCAATGTCCACCTGGATTTGAATCTGGCCATGAAGGGCAGCAAGAAAGGCATCTACAAGTACACAAACTAGGGAAAATATGAACGGCTGTTGAATGGGACAGGGAACCTGGTGTCAAAGAATGAGGAAAAGGCTGAGTGCCTTCTCTACTTCATTCTTTGCTGGTAAGACCAGCCTTCAGGAATCCCAAGACCCTGAGAACCCTAGGAAAGTCCAGAGCAAGGAAGGCTTGCTGGAGGAGGATCAGATTAGGAAACATTTAAATAGACTGGACAGACACAATTTAGTGGAACCTCATGGGATGCACCCTGTGAGTGCTGTGGGAGATGGGTGATAGCATTGCAGGGACACTCTCAGCAACCTTCTGAAGACCGTGGTGATTAGAGATGTTGCTAAAGACTTAAAGAAAACATATGTCACTCCCATTTTTAAGAAAGGCAAGAAGGAAGATACCAGGAACTAAAAGCTGGTCAGCCTCACCTCAATCCCTGGGAAGGCAATGGAGCATATACTTCTGGAAACTACTTCCAAACAAATGAAGGTCAAGAAGGGGATTAGGAGGAGTCAGCATGGATTTATGGAAAGGAAATAATTTCCAACCAACCTGACATCTTCCATGATAAGCTGATTGGCTTCGTTCATGAAAGGAGAACAGGACATATTGTGGATTTCAGAAAGGGCTTTTTACAGTGTCTCCCATAATATCCTTGTAGACAAACAGATTAAATATAGACTAGATAAGTGGACAGTGAGGAGGATTGAAAACTGGCTGAACTGCTGGGTTCAGAGGGCTGTGACCAGCAGCATGGAAGCCACTGGGTGGCCAGTCACCAGTTGTGTACCCCAGGGGTCAATGCTGAGTCCTGTATTGTGTAATGTCTTCATTAATGACCTGGCTGATGGGACCAAGTGCACCTTCAGCTAGTTTGCAGAAAATAAAAACTGTGAGGAGTTGCTAACAGACCAGATGGTTGTATTGCCATTCAGAAGGACCTCAACAAACCGCAGAAATGGGCCAACAGGAACTTCATGAAGTTCAGCAAAGGGAAATGCTAAGTCCTGTACCTGGGGAGGTACAACCCAATGTCCCGGTACAGGCTGGTGGCTGATCAGCTGGAAAGCAGATTTGCAGAAAAGGACTTGGGAGTCTTAGAAGGCAATGAAGTTGACCATGAGTCAGCAATGTGCCCATGTGGCAAAGAAAGCCAATGGCATCCTGGGCTGCATGAGAAGAACCATTGACAGCAGTCTGAGGGAGGGGATCCTTCTCCTCTACTCAGCACTGGAGAGACACTTTTGGAGTGCTGGATCTAGTGCTCCCAAATACGAGAGACATGGACATACTGGAGAGAGCCCAGCGAAGCACCACAAAGATGATTAAGGGACTGGGGTATCTGGCATATAAGGAGAGGCTGAGAGAGCTGGGACTGTTCAATCTGGAGAAGAGAAGGCCCAGGAGGTTCTTATCCATCTGCATAAATACCCGACTTGGCAGTGGGGGTTGCGGAATAAAGAAGATGGAGACAGGCTCATCTCTGTGTGGCCCAGTGACAGGACAAGAGGCAATGGGCACAAGCAGAAATACAGGAAAATCCACTTAAAATCAACAAAAACTTTTTTTTTTTTTTTTTTTTTTTTTTTAAATCTTTCTTCACTATGAAAGGAGCTGTTCTTTGTGGGGACTCATCACTCCATCCTGGAAGATACTCAAGACCCAGCTGAACATTGTCCTGAGCAACCTGCTCCAGCTGACACTGCTTGAGTGGTGACTTAGACTAGACAATCTCTAGAAGTGCCTTTCAGTCTCAGCAACTCTGATTCTATGAGCTGTTTTATGGAGACTGACTGGTCAGCTCAACATTGTGGTTGTTTTCTACAAATGAAATTTGCTTGATGGTGCTTGGAAAAGTTCTTAGTTTCTGGGTAACAACGAAGGATGGATCCTCTGATTTGCAAAGAAACCCACCTTTGTCCCATGTAAACAGTTCAAAGGCACTTTAGAAGGGTCAGCGGACACCTGTCCCTATAGCTGATGCCTCCTCTACCATTCCTTCCTTGGTCAAAAAGGCCTAGCTCAGAACATAAGTGAGATACAAAAGGGTGTGATAAGTTGCAGCAGACCTCCCCTAGGCACAGCCTTTACAGCAATGATACACTTGTTCCCACGTGACTCCACCCAGGGAGTCAGCTGTTTGTGTGGCTGCTTTTCCAGGCAGAACAAGGGAATGTAGCCCTTCCAGAGCTTAAGCAATGTAAGGAAAGGCTGTTGGGACCCTCCCGGCCTCCATTTTGTAAGAACCTGCAAAATGACAGATGCTAAACTTAGACCAACAAGAACCTTCCTTTTCCCACTCCCTTCAAAGGTGTAGAAGAGGTGTGCAGAAGTTAGAGGGGGGAATTTCTTCATGCTGTTGCTAAGTGTCAGACCAACACCTGTATATGCAACTTAACAAAGGTGAGCCTTCTCATCAGATGCTCTGCGACTAACACTTACACTAACACATAGTGCTTTGGTTTTCCCCATAGGTGCCACTATGACCTGTATATGCAATTTAACAAAGGTGAGCCTTCTCATCAGACGCTCTGCGACTAACACACTAACACACAGTGCTTTGGTTTTCCCCATAGGTGCCACTATAAGTGTGATCATTGACATTGACGTCAATATTTCAGTCATTATTTCTGCCCTGATTGCAACTATGTACACGCTTGTGGGTGGGCTTTATTCTGTGGCCTACACTGACGTAGTTCAGCTCTTCTGCATCTTCCTGGGACTGGTAAGTTTGCCTATTTCTCCCTTCTTTGTTGACAATTTTGCCCTGAGAATTATGATGATTGCTGATACCTATTGCCCAGGTTTGGTTTTGGAACTGTGTCTTCACTGAAAACATAGAGAAGGAATATCTACACTCACAGTGCCCTGACTTTAAAGAGTCTGCATTTACATCAACGTACAGCCCATGCTTTGACAAAAATGCTGACCAAGAGGCTGATTCTTTGGCTTTTTTCCAACTTGTCTGGTAGCTCAAATGCTTCCCTATCTGCCCACAGGACTGTGGCACAGGCACAAGAAGGAGGCATCAGACATAGGAAGCAGTCGGTAAAGCAGTCCAGAAATGCTGGCATGGGACCTGCAGAGCTGATACTCCCCTGCTTCTCTTTTCTGTAGCTGTCACCTACTCGTGCAGCTTAGTGAACCTCCTGCTTTAAATCACTTTCTCGTTTTTTCCCTCATTTCCTTCCACCATCCTTGGATACCACAGTATAGGAAGTCTCACCAGATGACTTTGCTGTTTGAATATGGTGATATGAATATCCCCTCATCAGCTATCCACGATATGCTAGTGGGTAGCTTTTCTTTTATTTACTGCTGTTCTTTAAGCCCTACTCTGAAAAACATCAATGCAACAGGGCTCAGACCACAGAGGTGCCATCAAAGAAGCTGCTGCCTTTGTTTGCCAGTGTCAGTAATCAGTGGTCACAGGTGTGCAGAGAACTGAGACAGGCTGAAATAAACAATGTGGCTGAACCTGAAGGAACTGAATGGCACCTTGGGGACCCAGAGTTGTTTCTCTGCTTCCACCAGAGTTCTTGTGCAGCTCTAGGGAAATTGCTTCATCCAGTGCTCGCGCAGGTGGTCGCTAACCAACCCTGTGTGTGTCCTCACTCTGTGGCATCCTACCGTGAGGCCTACGGCCTTATTTGCAGAAGTGCTAAGCATTCCCTGTTGTAACTGACTTCATGGGAATGGTGCTAAATACACTGAAAAAGTAAACCCAAGTTCCAGCTGGCCACTTCAAATGAGAAGTTATTCCAGATCTTCTTCTCTCATACCTTTGTTCTTCACCTGCACAGTGAGGAAAAATACTGTCTCCTTCCCTAACATGCATGTTAATATTTGTGAACCATTCAGTTTCTACAGATGGTGTGCATTACAGAAATTCCAAAAATTGTAGATAAATCAAAATACAGAAATGCTTTTCCAATGAGAACAACTCATGCATTGCTAAAGACCCTGATCCCATGGGTATAACAACATGTGATCCTGTATTAAGGGCAGCATGAACCTGACAGGGAGGGGAAAGCAAATGAAGGTTGTATAGCAGTGTCCTAAATGGTCAGATCCATAGCTTTAACAGTGTTCTTTTAATTCAGGTTGGGCTCTTTATGTAACTTCCAGTTTGAAATAAACAGCAATAATGTCATGTAGAAGAAACCATATTCATAATCTCAAGAGTCATCAGTAGGGCTGGAAGCCTCAGATAACATCTGAACAGACATGCTTTAGGTGTGGCAGTTTTAGATGAGGTGGAACACTTTCACAGTATGTCACAGGCTTAGGTATCCCAGCTTCTCATCCAGGCCCTGGAGCAGTTTGTATTCCCACTGGCACAGAGCTTTAGTGCTCATTCCTCTAATGTCTGTCCCTCTCCTGCTCCTTACCCAAGAGGAGGCGCTTGTTGTAATCACTTCTGTTCCCTACCCTGGCTCTTCATTTCAGCCACAGTTTCTTCCTTAGGTTTCTATGAACTCTACCCTAGCCACTCCATGTACTTCCCTGTTTTTCTCCTTACAATCCCATGTAGTCTTTCTCCTTCCCTCCTCGCTCTCCTGTACCCACATCTGCAATTCTCAGCTCTTTGTCTTTATCTTGCCCGGTGAGTCTTTCCCTGAGCCTGCACTGTATCCCCACTATTCACTGACTCTTCATTTCAGCTGTATTGTTAATTTCCCATTCTAAACTCTTTGCCACCATGTAGAAGTCCTTTTTTTTCTGTTTTCCAAACCCTTGAGGTCCAGGTCCTTCTACCTACCTGCTACTTCTACCCTTAAGCTTCAAGTCCCAACATAAAGTCCCAGTTTCTGCTTCACTTCCATGAGCCATGGTTTTATTTGCCCTCCATTCAAAATAGTGAATTTGCTGCTCCCATTAGAAAGGGGTCAATGAAGAAATTGAATTGATGTCTGTATTAAGCAAATTAAACAGTGTCAAGGTGAAAACGCAGGATCATCTGTAGCGCTTAATTCTTAACACAGTCCTGACCTGTTTTGTCCCATGCCAACTAGTTATTTTCCCAGATAATTCCTAGGACCAGTTCAGGGCTGTCCTTTTTTTGGCAGGGAAAAGAGTCTAGATGTATGGATGCAAAATCTGACATGTCAGTGAACTGCAGGGCCAGAGAAAGCATCTTGACTTGTTTTATTTACTAATCTAAAGGTAGTCCTTGATACCACAAAGAGCTAGGTTCCTGTCAGGAACTGGAACGGATTACAAAAGCTCGTAATGCATTTGCAATACGGTACCTGTTAAATCTTGGGCTGTGACATGGAGGCTGCAGATGGACTTTTAGAATTTTACCCTATTGAAAATCTCATCTGACTACAGGCAAACCACAGCTTTTCAGAACCTCATCACTTGGACATGTTTGAGATTTGAGATTCACAAACAAGAATAAAAAAAATTCATTTGACATCCTTGTTCCCCATGAATTTCTCAACAAGAAGAGTATTAATATCCATTAATTTTGACAATGTTTATTTTTCCCTCAAAATAGCTTGGAGACAGTTGAAACATCTTGGTAATCTTTCCCAGAAAAGTATACGCAGACAACGAGAAGGGAATTTTTCTGCCCAAGTGCTTAAATTGGCAAAGTTTAACACGTAACTGAGAACAGAATACTATGGTACATGATAAACAACCTGAATAATGGGCAGTGCTGCAAAATATTCTTCGCACATTATTGCATTAATCATACAACAAAGTAGAAGAAGATGTTTCGTTTCTCCACTCATTGCTCCTGTTACCCCATACACTTAAGTGAGATCAGTTGGATTGTGCTAATCTGTGCGGTTTTGGATATCACTGGATCCTTAAGGATGCCGTGCTTGTAATGGTCTATTCCATATAGCACAAAGCCTGGTTTTCTTCTCAGTAGGAGCTGCTGAGGTTCCCCTCATAGAAGGTTAGTGAATTACACCATTGCAAAATGAATTGGCGATTAAATGCACAAAAAGTCTGTTGGTGAAGGAAACGAAGCTTCTGGCAGAAACTGCCTCTGGGAAGAGTTTCTCAACCAATTTTTTCAGCCTAGATCAAAAACAGAGAGACTGAAAATAGTCAAGAGCCTGGACTGAAATCACCCTCAATGAAGGAAAGTGCTACTGGGTGGTCTGGAGGAAGAGATATGGAGGTTCACCAACAGCATCCATCTCTTGTCATTATATAGTTTTGTGTTGAATTAAAAGCAAATTCCTAAGCCTCCAGGTGTGTTTGTGATGTCTCGTGCCTGTATAATGGCAAGTCCAGATGCTCTTGCACCTAAGTTTATATGTAGATGTTTCTCTACAGTGTGGTTCAGGAAAGGGTGTAAAGAATATATGTGGAGTTTAAGGAAAATAAAATGAAGATATATAAATGTGTCTTTCCTGTTGATTTTGCTATTTACACTGATTAACTCCTTGCTTATACTCACACTCTCCAGGACAGAAGTAAGCTATCCATTACCAAGCTGTCTGGATTTCGGAGATGTTCCGCCGGCACATAACCCGACTTTTCTGCAAGTCAGCTTGGCAATTTGGCATTTGATCGGTAGCATGCAAGAAAGAGAAAAACAGATCAACGTTAATATTAAAATTTCACAGATTTAGAATGCCTTCTTTAGTCCTGAACAAAGTGTTTCTCTTCGGTTACAGTGGATCAGCGTACCCTTTGCGATGTCCCACCCTGCAGTGACAGACATTGGGCTCACAGCTGTGCACCAGGTGCACCAAGCACCTTGGCTTGGATCTATCAACTCACTTGACATTTACACATGGCTGGACAATTTCCTTTTACTGGTAAGTGATGGTTTGTATGAAGGAATGAAGCATTTAAGCACTCATACTGTGTTACTGTGTCAGCTGAAAATAATAAAGAGGCTAGTTAAGAGTTTCCAGCAAACTGAAAAGTTTTCCCCTCCCGACTCCTCCTCGATATTTCTGCATGTTTGAATTATTTCAGTGAAATATCAGTAGAATATTGTAGCACAGCTGCCAAAGTCAGTATTGCCAGGAATGTAATTTAAATATCATGAGGCTGAAAGAGTTGACCTATGCTAAAATTAATTAAAAGTGTGCAGCTAATACTTAACTGATGTAATTGTTGGCAGAGGAATTTACATACGGCAGAAGGCAATAAAAATGTTATACAAATGATTAAATACGCCTTAGGTCTAGGTGATGTAGAAAAAGTTTTGCAGAGATGGATGGATGAATGGATGAATTCATATGTGCACACATGCCAGAATGAACTGAGGGCTTTCATTATTTAATACCTGTGTATTACACATGGGATTGGTGGTTATTAAGTACTTTCCATTAGAAGATCTAGCAAAACATGCTAACATTTTCCATTCTCAATGTCACTGAGCAAATCTATACTCTTTTTATTATCATGTTGTACTTTGGGATTCCTTTCCCTGTTTGTTTTTTTATTTTTTTAAATACTCTCAACCAAAAATCTTAATTTTTCTGAGAATTGGGCTATTGAAATGTATATTTTATCCAGCTCAAGTTTTTTAGATATTCTTAGAGAGCCAAAGTGTGACACTAGCTCAAGTAGCTGTATTCTGTCTGGTAAGCCTGAAAGTCTCATCTCTGCTGATGACCAAAGGAAAGTTCTGATATTGCGAAACTGTTACATGTTTTCATCTTGTTTGTTTCATTTATCATTCAATAAATTTACACATGCTTGGAAAGCTTGGTTAAAGGAACATTATCAAGGCTGCAAAGGAAAAGAGTCATAAATAGCAAGTCAAAATCAGAGTTGTCTGTGAAACATTCACTTGGTCCCTATGCGTGCATGAAGCATATATGAAACACCTGTATACACACTATTTGGTCCAAATGCCTCCTGCCTCATTTAGTGTGTGGAACTGGGCTCTGCACGTTTAGTGAGCAATTTGCTTTGTTTTCTTTCCATGCTGTTTAGTAATAGGCCCTTATTTACTTAGTGGAGACTATTCAAATCCTGCCCTCCAGACAGAATTGTTAGCATGTGGTTTTTCAACCTTTGATAATAATTTCTAGTGTCATATTTTGCAGACATAATTTTAAGTCTAATCAGGATCTTAATTGTTATATAGCCAAGACAAAAGAGAAAGGTTGCCACCACAAAAGAAAGCGTTCTGTTACTGAATTTGTCTTTTGTGTTTATTGGTTTCATATTTGCTTAAGACAGTGGGAGAATAGTTTTTCAGATTCTTTAGGTCAATGTATACAGAACGTGTTGTCTTGTTTAGATGGCCACTTGCATTTATAAAGGAAGATAAAATCTTGCTTTCAAATCCTGTCACAGTGTAATCTAATTTTGGCAGGGGAACGGTCCTGGAGGCCAAATTCTTCAAATACAAAATATGACAGTAGTATTTTATAACCTGTCATAAGGCTTTATCAAGTATTTACACCACTTACAGTAGTTTGGGAGTACAGAGATTATGTAAGTGCAAAGTGTTGTTGCTAATTGTACAAAAGAATAACTTGTCTAAAAGAATGGGATTTAAGTGGACTTACAAAGGTTTGACGTTACTTGTGAGAATGAAAGTTACAGCTATTACTGACTGACTGATATTCAATAAATAAATGAAAGAGCAGCAACATGGCATTCAGCATTCAGGTTATGCTTCTACGTGCTCTCCATATGGTAATAGCATAAAAATCCAGAATTAGTCCCCAGTGATGGGATGCTGCCCATTGTGTTTGCAGACATTAGGAGGAATCCCATGGCAAGCGTATTTCCAGCGAGTTCTTTCTTCATCTTCTGCCACATACGCGCAAGTTCTGTCATTTTTGGCTGCTTTTGGCTGTCTTGTGATGGCACTTCCCGCAGTACTCATTGGTGCAATTGGAGCATCTACAGGTAAATGATTAAAAATTAATAGTACAATAAATGTAAAATGAAAGTACAATAAATGTGTGAAAACCCTACAAAGCTTATATTACATATAATCTATCCAGGTGACATCATTAATCAACTTATGACTTCTTCAAAAGGAGACTATACGGAAAAGTAATATTATAGAATGTTTCTCCCAGGGGAAATTGCTCCTACCGCAGTGACTGAGATTAACTCATTTAGCACGTTCTAGGTAGCTACAGACATAATATTTCTATTTAATGTTTGAGTCAAATTCTGGTACTTTTATTTGGTCTTAACAGTAATAGCTGCTAAATAGCTGCCTATGTATTGTAGTCATTTCTCAGAAATTTCTTACCTTGACCAAAACATCCTTGTCAAGTTCTTTGTCATAGTAGCGTGATTCCCATCCCAGTGACCATGTAGCTAAACTGTTAGAAATATTCTGTTAGAAATGTTTAGCACATGGCTTTGAGCTCTGAGTCTGTAATCCAAGAGAACAGTTAAACAAGCAAACATGGATCCCAGGCTTGAGCATGAGCAATGCAGAGATTTAATATTAAACTTCCTACTGGATAGCCACAGGGTGAGGTCAGACTTAGTTTAGAGATAAGGAAAAACGCTGAGCAGAGTTAAATCTGCTTAACAGAAACCAGTGGGACAATGCCTCTCAGAAATGCCATCGGTCCTGCCCTAGCAACACATTGGTCATTGAACGTGAATGAAAATGTGGCAATATGAACAGATGACTACACACGAAGTCAAGAGATGCTGTAGCTGATGATTACTAATGTTACTAATAACATACCGGTGTCCATATTGCAGCCTGGAATGAGACTGAGTATGGTGTCCCTGACCCCATGGCTAAAAAAGAAGCAGATATGATTTTACCAATCGTGCTCCAGTACCTCTGCCCAGTCTATATCTCGTTCTTTGGCCTTGGCGCTGTATCTGCTGCCGTGATGTCGTCAGCTGACTCTTCAATTTTATCAGCAAGTTCTATGTTTGCTCGGAACATTTACCAGCTTTCCTTTCGGCAAAACGTGAGATTACAATTTCATTTCTACTTTTAGAGAAAATTTTAGGTGAGACCTTAACTAGGTGATGCATAGACTGTAATTTCATAATGAAACACCTTTTTCAACATTCCTCCCCATAACTAGAAAATGTATAGCATTTCATTCCTAACAGTATATTGAATAAATTGAAAATCATAAAAATATTTATGGTCATGACTGACAAGAGAGGTGAAAAAGCTAGCTCAGGGGAGGCAGCTTTCACGAATTCTCATGACACTGCAGTTTATCCAAACAGCTCCTAATTATCCCTGCAACCATAAGTTTTACTTAAATCCTTAGCAAAATAAGACATCTTTCTGAATTATTGATTTGTTAGGAAATCATTTGGCAACAGAACAGGCTAGTGAGTCAGAGTTTTTCTTAGGAAATGGAGAAGAAATTCTGATGCTGACAGTTTTTTCTAGTTGAGCCATATTGTGTTTATATTTAAAAGTTATTTCTAACATCCTGCTGTGTTTTTTTTCTTTGACACATTATAAAACTTTCCCTTATGCTTAAAGATTAATGGCTTTGGGAATGACAACCATAACCCTTGGGTTTTTTTCTCTGTGCTTGAGATGGAGATAGAAACAGAGACAGAGATACCAATTTGTAAATATTATTGAATATCATGCAAAATTTCCTTTTACAATGCAGTATTTTGTATTGACTATGTGCATAGATGTAGGGATACATATATTGTCATGAAAAAAACACCTAACATTGCCCTTTTTTTGCAGGCTTCAGACAGGGAAATCGTATGGGTCATGAGAATCACTGTTTTTCTGTTTGGAGCATCAGCAACAGCAATGGCACTGCTGGCTTCGTCAGTGTATGGCCTGTGGTACCTCAGCTCTGACCTTGTTTATATCATCATATTCCCCCAGCTCCTGTGTGTGTTATTTATTAAAGGAACCAACACCTATGGTGCCATTGCAGGATACTTATTTGGCCTTGTTCTCAGAATAACCGGAGGAGAACCGTACCTCTACCTTCAGCCCTTGATCTACTATCCTGGCTGCTATCCCGATGAAAATAATATCTATACCCAGCGATTCCCATTTAAAACACTTGCAATGCTTACCTCCTTCTTTACTAACATTATAGTCTCCTACTTAGCCAAATACTTATTTGAGAGTGGGACTTTGCCACCAAAGCTGGACTTCCTTGATGCTGTTGTTGCCAGGTACAGTAGAGAACACATGGACAAAGCAACTCTTGTAAAAAGTGACAATATTGTATTAAACGAACTTGCACCCGTGAATCCACGACACAGTCTAACTTTGAGCTCCACTTTCACAAACAAGGAAGCCTTCAATTATGTTGATTCGAGTCCAGAGCTGTCCAACGCTGAAGACAATTAAAAAGTCTGGTAGCCCAAGGCAAAGCAATGGGAAGCAGGATATTCTACAAAGAATAATAAGAGGCATTTTATCAGAAGAAAAGCAAGAATTGGGAATAAAATGCTACTGCACAATTCTTTAAGTTGTTTCTAGGAGCAGAAGCATCCCATGGGAGGAACTCTTTTCTGTTATTATCTAACATACTGGATTAGAACATAGAGTGTTTACTGAGAGATACACTCAGATCCCATTCTTTCCACCCAGAACTATATACTGTGTAATTAAAAAAATATTTACAACTGAAAAAATATGTAGCAGAAAAAGTGCAACAGTTATTTAGCTAGGATAACATATGAAGAGATTATAATACAGTCACTCTGAAATACTATCAGTCAACACTTTTATTGGCATTAAGTGAGAATATATTGTCACAGCTATAAGTGATTTATTACTAGAGAGCTAGTTGCTTGAGCAAAGACAGATAGATATCTTCCCTGGAGTTTTGGTCTGGTCATTTTTTGCCTCATAAAGAAATTCAACTAATAGAAATCTAGTATTTTATTACTTGTATAAGACAGCAAAATGTGCAAATAGTAATAAATTCCTTATAGGAGTGCTAAATATCATATATTAATTTAAAAAGTTAAAGTGAAGTCACCAGTTTAAAAATATGTTATATCTAATGCGAGACAACCTTAAGCAAAGTATGTTACTATAGGTGTTCTTTTTTTCCTGTGGTTAGTGGCTGTCACCAGTGGAGGATAACAAAATTTTTAAAGCAATAATTGGAGTTGAAACTCAGCTTGTGAAAAACGATAGAACACTTCTAAACTAAATAGAACTTTTCAATGTTGAAAAAAGAAACCTTATCTTGACTTATCATCAAAATGGACACTGAGCAAAGCAGTCTGACACCAAGCAACTGCAGCAATGGAACAAATATTAAAAAGGAAGGAGAGTCAAGAAGGCTTGAAAAAACAGATGAGAGGGTTTTCCATGGGGAAAATTCCCATTTTTCACCCAATTAAAAAAGTCTTCTCAAAGACACGAAAGACTCTTTTGGGTTGGTCTTGCTGGGACTAGTCTGGAAAGTGTAGTTTTTCCATGGAAAATTACATTTTCTCAAAAATTTGATTTTTCATGGGAAAAACGGGCTTGCTGAACAGCTTTCCACATCTGTAAGTGTCTACCTCCGAAAGCAGCAGCAGCTTGGAGGCGAACTGAAAGGAAAGTCACAAGTTTAGTGAAAGGCACAGCAGTGTCTTCCACGAAACGCTGGATTCCTTCCGTACCAGCCATCCTCCTGGGCCATTGCAATGACTCTGCAGAGCACCAGGAGTGGCCAGGTGCAGATGAGGCTTCGCTCATGAATGGCAAAGCTGGCCAGAAGCAGCAAAGCAGGGAGATGAGGCCTCTTCTGACTTTGCCCTGGCCAGCAGGGAACACGCAATGTTGTTTCCATTTGCCCACGGCCGAGATGATTGTGTCTGTCCCCATTGGTATGTGCCTTTCACAGTGGGAGATCTAATAGCTAGATTTCTGTACAATTAAGAGTTATGCTCCAATGATTCTTTTTAATATCAACGCACGACACAAAATGTTCAGTTGAAATCTAGATATCTTCCTGTTGCTGGTCACTGGTGAAATTTCTTCTTTAACGTTCACAGCACGAGGAGGTATACTGGAGGATAGGAGATGTAAGAATAGGTTTTGCTGCTAAAGGAAGAAGCCATCAACTTGTGCATTCAATGTTGACATAAACTTTCACAAGGTTGAATCCTTAGACATGTTTTTGCTCCTTTTGTGGAGTTTTAACAGCATATATCTATTTTATACATAGAGAAAATTAATTTTAGAAATGTTGATTTTTTTTCTCCATACACTGCATTTAAAAATAGCACTGCATCTCAGTTCTGAATATGCATTGTGAACCGCGGTACTACTGTGCTAACAAATATTGAGCGTGCTCTGGCTGGAGGGAATCAAAATCAGGATCTGCACTAAAATCCCAGAAGAGCAAATAGAGCAAAAACATGAAAAATTCCTGCAGGGTGGATGAACAAGCCACCGATGAAATTCAGGGTGCTGAGGATCTTACAAACTGGATGTGAGCCCAGTGGTATTCATTCCCTCATGAAACAATGGAAAAAGAAGAGGAAAGAGACTGTATGGAAGAAAGGGTGGGGAGAAGAGAGCCGCTGATGAATTATTATCCATTTCTGGCCCGAATCCACTAGCCTGAATCCCTTCTTATGCGAAAATAACAAGCCACGGTTTTGCCTGCTTGCATAGCCAATGCCTTACGCTGCAGTTCCAAATTAAGTTAGGGGATCCCATTTTACTGCCACCTGTAGGTCTTCCTGAATATTTTCTCTTACTTCAGTTTTGTCTAGGAATTGCTAGAATTTCACTATGAGAAGCTGCATAATGGTCAGATGCTTTGAATACAGCAGCACTTCTGTATCACTTATTTCAAAATACCCAATAGAGTGAGGAGAAGAAAAGGAGAAGGGGATTCAGTTGGACTCATTTAAGAAATTCTGAATGAAAATTAAAAATCTTTCCTTTTTTGTGTTGTCATAAAAATGTACAGGCTTTTAAAATGCTCAAAATGAAAAACTGAAATGTGTTAGTCAAAAAATTTCAAGCCAGATGCTTTCAACATAATCAGAATATTTTATACTCTTTATCCTATCAAATATTTTTGTGAAACCACTGTGATTTCACAAAGTATTCCTGTTTATATGGAACTATGCATTCTCTGGCAGAAAATGGTTCCAACAAAGTTTTCCAGTCCTCTCTGCGGAGACTGAAAGGTTATTGCACTTTTACAAGTAGCACACCATGGAAGCTTTACCTTGCAAAGGAGAGAAGTGGCACTGAAGACTGTTCACCATGCGACTGTAACTCTGCTTTGCGTGTACCACGTCTCTGTGCACGTCTCTGAGTGAGTCCAACAACACCTGCCATGGTTGCGGTGGTGGGCTCACAGTAGACAGGATGACGCCAAAAGCCAAACTAAACAGCCCTGTGCAAAGTCTGTTTACGAGATTATTGCCTTAGTTCAGCTTTCCTACCACTAAATTTATACAAAGCTGTTCATATAACTGAAGGCCATGTCTATGATTGATAGCTGGGGAGGAGGGCGGGGAGGGGAAAGAGAACAAAATACAACCAAGTTACTTCCACAAGCAAAATGTCAACAGGACATGATTCTTAAAGTAGACTTTATTTTTATGGTAGTCATCAGATGCTCCTTCTCCACTTTTGCGATTTGTAGACAGTAGTACTGTGCACTAAATGGGATACATAATCAGTGAAGCAAACAGCTCATTTTCAGACATTTTACTTTCATATTCTTAACATTTGTGAATAACACTTATTTGACAGGGTTTTTACCTCCTTTGCATGAGATGTGTTCATAAAATCAAGGTTAATAACATAGCTGAGACGTCAAAAAAGTCACGATTTCATCTATATTTGTCCATATGGGACGGTATATGTATTATAAATAAAACATACTTTTGTGAACCTGAACTGAATGTAAACATTAAGTGGATCAAATAAAGTAAAGTAAAAGATGTAGTCTTTTATTTTCGTATAGTACTACAATTTAGGATTTCAAATATAAGTATCATAGGAAAGAAACTGTTGTTCATTTTTCCTTCTGCCCTTCAAGAATATTTGATCAAGTATCATGTGCAGTTAGACAGTAAGTTATTGTAAGTCTGCTATTAATCAGGGCAGTATTTGTGGCTGTTGTTAAAAAAAAAAAAAAAGTATATTTTTGTCTGTGTCAGAAATGTTATATTAAGACTATACCTAACAAAGCAGATAGGAAGCATAATATAGATATATATGTTTTAATTTCATTTGTATTGTATTCAATAGTGCCCATGCAATTCAGGAAAATACTGTCTGGTTTTTGGGTCTGTTTTGTCCATCTATTAAAAATAAAGACGTTTATTTTATTATCACTCAGCTTCACCTGAGGTTTTGTGTCATGGGCACAGCACCACAGAGGTGAGGTGGCCCCAGCAGAGGGGGAGCTGGCCCTCGCTTGGGGCATCAGCAGGGCCACCGTGGCTGCAGCCTTGCTCCAAAACCTGGCTCCCACGTTGGAAACAGAGCTCTCCTTTCAGTCATCTCCTCCTTGTCCTCACAGCCACAATGAGCAGAGGCCCCTGAGCTCCAGGGTAATCTACATCCAGTGGGACTCCCTCCTGCAGACCCCTTGCCAAGGGACCTTTCTCTTAGGGGTTTTGTACTGGGACAAGGGCTGTGGTTTGAGCTGCAGAGTTGTCAAGGAGCACAAAATGTGCTATGGAAGGAGGAATGCACATGCTTAGAGGTTGCAGCTAGGTTCCACCTTTTGTGTGAGCAGACTGGAGCAACAGTTTGATAGTTTTTCCCTTTGTAGTGGGACATAAAGTCATCCTCGGCATTGCATGTGTTATAAATACAGTTATAAATACAGTTATTTAGAGATCAAAATTTCAGCTGACTGAAAATTAAACCTGTGCTTTTATCCTCCTATTAAGAGCTTGATCTAATGTCCACAGAAGTCAAAGGAAAGACATAAATGGGTGGCTATCCAAATGGTACTATAATGACACGTGTCAAACACACAGTGCATTTACCCCCCAGACGCTTTGCAAAAATATGTGGGCAATACTGTCCACTCATGGATGGGGAAAACAAGGCACACTGGCTTGTTTTCCAGGGCACTGAGCCACTGAGTTGCTCACTTATGGAGCAAAGCACACGCTGGGATTTTCAAACAGTGTTACATGGCATAGATATTTCCTTGAGGCCATAACGCTCTGGTCTCATTTGCAATTCGGGAGCTTGATCCGCACTTGCACCTTCGAAAAACTGAAACATGTTTTAAGACAACAGCCCTGATATCTTGTAACTTGTATGTCAGAATGAAAGCAAGTTCATAACCTTGCAGATTCAAAAAGGCAAGAAAAAGCACAAAGTAAAGGTGCACTGACAATTGTTTTGGAAGAATTAATGAA